TAGATAGATAGATAGATAGATAGATAGATAGATAGATAGATAGACTGACAGAGTATTTAGTCAGTCAACAAGAATTTCTTAAGAGTCTCTGGTCCCTGCCTCAAAGAAGCTCACGGTCTAATGGGAGAGACTATGCAAAGAACTATACACATACAAGACGTATAGTTGTTGTTGTTCATCCTTCATTTTCGAAGAGAAAGATCATCACAGGATGATGTCTTTACTTGTGTGGGAATTGGATTTAAGTGAGTTACACAAGACATCAGCTTCACTCTCTCTTCCAGAGCCACCTAAGTCCAGTGGCAAAACAAAAGTCAAGATAACTGGAGGGATACAGTGGATGACCTTGGTGTCTTTGATGTCTGACCAAGCTCTAAGTGCTCCACAGCGCCTACTTCAGCCACCTTCATGACCATTAAAACAAATTGTTCTCATCTGCCCATTCCACTGGGGTGAAGTCTTCACATGCTTGGGGGTAGATATTCCCCTAACTCACCAATAAGTTTGAGGTCCATTAGTTTCTCTCAACCTGGTTTAGCCCATCTACCAAGATGGCTACATCTTCTTGGAGCCACAGGTGAGAGTTCAGTGCCAGGTGGACACCAAAGGTGGATGAGCAGCCCTGAAAAGGGTTCATCAAGCCCTCACACCAAAAGTGTCAGTCCTCTTTGAAACCCCATACACCGTACAAGACATATACAGAGTATATGGGAGATAATGTCACATGGAAGGCACCAGCAGTAGGATAGAATAAGAAAGACCTCCTCCAGGAGATGGGATTTGAGCTGAGTCTTGAAGGAATGTAGGGAAGACAGGAGACAGAGACAAGGAGAGAGAGCACTCCAGGCATGGGGGACAGTGACAGAAAAGGCAGAATTGAAGTGTTGTGTGGGAGGAATAGCATGCAGAACACTTGTTCAATCACAGAGTACTTGGAGTACTCTTGTACTGTGTACAGTAGTAAGAAAACTTGAAAGGTAGAAGAGGGCTAGTTATAAAGGACTTTAAACACCAAGTAGGATTTTATAGTTGATCCTGGAAATAATAGGAAGTTACTGGAATGCATTGAATGTGGGATGTGACTGATGCGACTGAAGGGACCTATATTTTAGGAAGATCATTTTGGCATCTTAATTAAGAATGGACTGGAGTGGAGAAAATCTTGAAATAGCTAACTAACCAGCAACCAGCAAGTTATTGTAATGGGCCAGGTGTGAGGTGATTAGGGCTTGCACCAGAGTAGTAGCCATATCAGAGAAGAGAAAGCATCTGTGAATGATGTTTATGAAGACCAAAACAGTAGGACTTAGCAACAGATTGGATATATTAAGTGATAGGTGAGTGAAGAGTCAAGGATAACATCCAGGTTGAAAGCCTGGATGACAGAGACGATAACGGTGCCTTTGATAACAGAGAAAGTCTGGAAGAAGAGAAAGTTTGGAGAAAAGATAATGAGTTTTGTTTTGGATATATTGAGTTTAAGATGTCCATAGGACAGCCAGTTCAAGATGTCTAAAAGGCAATTAGTATTTCGAGCTTGGAGGTCAGAAGAGAGGTGGATAAATAGATTAGAGAAACATCTATGTATCATTATTTCTCTTTTCATATTGAGGTTAAAAACAAATGAGGGTTTTTTCTCAAATTTGTACTGGATATTTTTAGGGCCTGCCACCCTAAACGAGATGATGGTTAAACTTCTGGGCTCTAAGCTAAAAAAGAGATAATAGAGCCTCTTATATAAGTCTCTTATGAGGAAGACACATAATCAGTCAAAGACCTTTCCAAATTCAGAAGGAGAAAGCTGAGAAAAGCTCCATAATCAAATGTCCAACAAAGCCATACCTAACAGTGACTATGAAACCAATGGGGCACCATCCAGAGATATCATGCAAGAGCACAGAAAAGCAAGCCCAGAGAGAACAGTATGATGACATCATCAAAAGATAACAGTGGCCCTAGAACATGAGAATTGCCTCTCCAAATGTGCACTCTGGCCACGGGCTCCCTACATGTGTGTCCCTCCAAATACTTTCCTTTGGTATGTCCATTCTTCCCACTGATGGTATATGTATTTGTGAGAGAGGGTGACCCAAGTCATATGAGGAAAATGTTCTAATGCTACTTTTCTTCATTAAATGCCTTTTCTTTGAACTTGTTCTCTAACTAGTTGGTTGGATGTTGTCCTTCATTCTCAAAGAGGACCAAAATAATATCACCACATTGGGGTCAAGGTACAGTGTGTCTGACTGTGGCTGATCAGACCACTACAAGCTCAGAAGGCTCTACCACAAGTTGGGTGCAAACAGTCCATATGAATATTTGGCATGGAGATGTCTCTAAATTTGTGCATCTCGTGTTTCTTTTGATCTACTGCAATTCTGCTTTGCTCATATTACGGGGCATTGGAACATATTATGGCTGTTAGAACAAATTGTTCTCTCATCTGTCCATTTTATCTTCACAAGCTTGAGGTAAACACCCTCCTAACTCACCTACAGGTTTGAGACCTGTTGGGGTGTGGCCACTGTGCATGCTACAGTTTCTTGGAGCCACAGGCAAAAGATGAGTATCAGATAGACACCAACGGTGGATTGGCAAGCCAGAGGTGCTAGATCTCCTTGAACACTCCATATACTTCAAGGAGTGGCTTAATGATTAGAGTGCCTGACTTAGAGTTAGGAAGACTTGAGTTTGAATCCTGCCTCAAATACTTTCTAGCTGTGTGACCCTGGGTAAGTCACTTGTCCTCTCTCAGCCTTAGTTTCTTCACCTGTAAAATAATCACTGGAAGGATCAAATGAGATAATTTAAGTGGAGTGCTTAATAAATCTTAAAGTGTTATATAAATGCTATCATTATTATCATTATTATCTATGCAACACGGACCATGCCTTGAAGCTTACAATCTAACAGAGTAGTGGGAAAATGCATACACAAATAGCTGTGAAACAAGAGAGTAAAATAGATGTAAAGGAGAGATCTAGGCAAAGTGGTGTGATAAATTCAAAAGGAGAGATCACTTTTACCTGGGATGGTAAGGGAAGTGGCACCTAAGTTGGACCTCAAAGGTAAGGATTTCAACAGAGAGGAGTGTAAGGTCCATTTTAGCTTGGGAGATAGGATGAGAAAAGCTACATTCTCAAAGTCAGGACAAGAATAGGAAGTAGAGAGAGGTAGAGAACATTCCATTTTAGCTACAACATTGAGTACGTGAAGGGAAATAGTTATAACAAGGCAGAAAAGGTAAATTCGAGCCAGACTGTGAGGGACTTTGAATACCAGCATCAGGCATTGATACAATATTCAATTGTTGTTATTTTTCTGTCGTGTCTGACTCTTCATGATCCCATTTGGGGTTTTCTTGGCCAAGATACTACAGTGGTTTGCCATTTCCTGCTCCAGCTCATTTTACACATGAGGGAACTGAGGCAAACAGGGCTGTTATCCGTCATAGAGCTAATAAGTGTTTGAGGCTGGATTTGAACTCAAGTAGATGAATCTTCTTGACTTCAGGCCCAACACTCTATTCACTGTGCCACCTAGCTGACCCACAAAATTTAATAGGCAATGACAAACCACTGGTGGAAGCTTTTTGAGTAAAGGAGTGACAAGAAGAGAGAAATTTGTTAGGAGGATTGATCAGGCAGAATTATGGAGGACAGACTGGAGAAGGGAGAGAACAGAGGCAGTTAAATTGGTGAGGAAGTAATTCCAAAAGTGAAGAAAAGATGAAGACCTGACCAAGAGTAGTTGTATTACAAGTTGAAAGGAAGGAACCTAGCTCGATATTTCTTTTCAGGCTTCTTCTCATTTTTATAAAATTGTTACCAATGATCAGGTGAACTTTGCTGTATCCCTAGATACTCCCACCACCAACTCCCCTAAACCCCAAAGAAAGCAACAACTTTGAGTGCATGGCACAAATAAATAGATTTTTAATTTCAACAAACATACACTCTCCATACTACCAGACAATATGTTCTGAAAAATGTACAGAAACATTCAAAAGAGTAAACTCTTATATATAGAGAGTTCTACTCCATAACTAGGCTACCTAACAGAGGGTCTGTTGGGGAAGAATGACTTTGATTCACACACAAACACAGAAAGACCCACAAGAGTCTGTCAGGGAAAGAGATTGAGTCCAATGGAGGTTTGGGAACATTTCAATCCATGACATTTCAGTCCTTGGAAACTCTAAACATTTCTTCATTGGTTTTCTCTGGATCACTCTATGAGTCCACTCCAAAGAATTATTTTGCTATATCATATTCCACATACTTTACATATAGATATGTGAATATTAGATGAGTATGTCTCTGACAAACAGCATGTAGATGTGTGACAATTCATTCAGAGAAGGCAAGAGATCTGAGGCCCAGCATGCCATCTTCCACACAAGAAGATTTAGGTGCACACATTCACACATGTGTGCATTTAGACAAGAACATAAGCATACATACCAAGAGTTCCAGGGTAATAAGCTAACACAAGGACAGATCCATTAAGCCAGAAGTTATTTTACCACATTATATATATATTGGATTTTTTTCCCCAAACAGTCTAATCTACTCATCACATTCACCAAGAGAACACATAGAATTGGGTGTGCACTCACTGTCAACAGACAGTGACTATGATAAAAGTTTCCCATTGGACAATAGCCTTACCACACTCTTACCTAACACCAAGCAAACCAGTCAGGCAGAGGTTGGGCAGCCTTCTTCTTATTAATTCAAAAGTGCCCTTGGCATTGAAAATGAAGTCATGGGGCAAAGGTTAGAGGGGGTAGCAACATCAGAGGGTGTGTGCAATAGGTCCCAGAGAAGAAACAATGGACACAGTTCACATCATCTGGAAATGGGACACAGGAATGTCTTTTGAGGCATCTTATCAAAGGTAGTCATTTTGAGACCAGTAGTTATGTCCATTACTCTTAATTCCCCAGTGATTATATATGCGTGTGTCTACTCATATGTATAGTATGTGCATGTGTATATGCCAGCCTTTTTTCCCTCTCAATTTTTGGGGGGGAAAATAAAATACCCAGGAACTTTCACGTCACCTCAAGAGAGGCAGGGGAGACCCGGTCACACTCGGCTCGGGACCGTAGGCTATGCCACTGTTCCACTGCTGTCCGGTGGGTGTTCAGCATCCGCCGCCAATGGTTGGATTCTGAGGAACCAGTAGAGTACTGGCCAATGACAATTCGCCCAATAAAGTCATTGCTGCTCTTCATATTGTGGCCATACACTGGAAAGACAGAATGGGGGAAAGGAGGGATATAAAGGTTGTGAGGAAGGGACAGCAAGCCAAGGGCAAGGGAAAGAGAGTGTTGGGGAGGAAGTGGAAAGTTTGGTAGGATAAGGATAAGATTTAAAAAAAAGATTAAAAAATAGAAATAAGATATCAGTGAGAAGACTATATTTCCCTTAAAATCAGGAACTATCCTCTCCTTCAAATTCAATATTTTTTATCTTTTTTTTAGGTTATGCATGTACAATCATGTTAAACGTATTTCTACATTAGTCATGTTGTGAAAGAAGAATCAGAACAAAGGGGAAAAACAATGAGGAGGAAAAAACAAAAACAAAAAAAGAGAAATAGTATGCTTTGATCTACATTCAGACTCCATAGTTTTTTCTCTGGATGTGGATAGCATTTTCCATCATAAGTTCTTTGGAACTATCTTAGATCATTGTATTGGTGAGAAGAGCCAAGTCTATTAAAGTTAGTCACCTTACAATGTTGTTGTTACTATGTACAACATAGGTTTGGCTCACCTCACTCAGCATCAATTCATGTAAGCCTATCCAGGTTTTTCTGAAATCTACCTGCTCATCATTTCTCATAGCACAATTGTATTCCATTACATTCATATATTAAAACTTGTTCTGCCATTCCCCTATTGATGGGCATCCCCTCAATTTCCAATTCTTTGCCACGACAAAAAGAGCTGCTATAAACATTTCGGTACATGTGGAGTCATTTTCCCTTTTTTTGTGATCTCTTTAGGATACAGACCTAGTAGCGGTATTGCTGGATCAAAGGGTATGCACAGTTTTATAACCCTTTGGGCATAGTTCCAAATTATTCTCCATAATGGTTGGCTCCATTCACAACACCTAACTCAATTTTTTAAATGATAATTTGATAACAATACTGTATTTTAAAAATCAAATCCAAGAATTCTTAACCAGGGTCAGTGAATGTTTTTTAAAACATATTTTGATAACAGCATTTTGATATAATTGGATATTATAATCACATGTATTTTATTTTATGCATTGAAAAACACTACTCTGAGAAGGGGTCCATAGACTCTACTAGACTGTCAAAGGCTCTACCAGACAAAAAAGGTTAGGTACTCTCAATCTAATCTATGTCATTGTTTCATCTATAAAGGTTTCTGTTGTCCCACATTATTCCATCAGACTATAACCTTCTTGAAGGTAAGGTCCCAAGTCTATTTAACTCATGTTGACAATGTGTGAGATGCAGCAAGTTCCTAATAATTCATTTTTGACCATGAAGAATCACAAAATCATGGAATTTTAGAGCTGGAAGGAAATATCTTGGTGTAGGAGAATGAGTGCTGATTCTGCAGTCAAAGGAACTCGATTCAAAAGCAAGCTCTGCCACTTATGTGGCCAGGTCTCTTACTCTCTCTGGGACTCAGTTTCCTCATATATAAAATTAGATGACTTCCAAGATTTTTTTCACCTCTAAAGCTAAAATCTTATAACCTCAGTGATCATAGGGTTCAGCTCATATCTACTGTAACAAATTATCAGCATTTCTATATATTACTAACAAAGCTCAATAGCAAGAGAAAGAAAGAGAAATTCCATTTAAAATTACTGTATTTGGCAGTCTACCTGTCAAAACAAAACCAGGAACTATCTATGTGAACATAATTATAAAACGCTTTTCATACAAATAAAATCAGATCTAAATAACTGGAAAAATATCAGTTGCTCATGGGTAGGCTGAGCTAATATAATAAAAATGGTAATTCTACTTAAATTAATTTACTTATTCAGCACCATGCCAATCAAACTACCAAAAATTATTTTGTAGAGCTAGAAAAAAGAACAACAAAATTCATCTGGAAGAACAAAAAGTCCAGAATATCAAAAAAACTAATGAAAAGAAATGCAAGGGAAGGTAGCCTAGCTGTACCAGATCTTAAATTGTATAATAAAGCAGCAATCATCAAAACTACTTGGTACTACTGGCTAAGAAATACAGTGGTGGATCAGTGGAACAGGTTAGGTATGCAAGACACAATAGTCAATGACTATACTAATCTACTATTTGATAAATCCAAAGACTCCAGCTTCTGGGATAAGAAATCACTATTTAACAAAAACTGCTGGGAAAATTGGAAAAATGTATGGCAAAAAACTGGGCATAGACCAACATTTTATACCCTATACCAAGATAAAGTCAAAATGGGTACAAGATTTAGATATAAAGACTGATACTATAAGCAAACTAGAAGAGCAAGAAATAGTTTACCTTTTAGATCAATGGAGAAGGGAAGAATTTATGACCAAACAAGAGAACACTATGAAATGCAAAATGGATAATGTTGATTATATTAAATTGAAAAGTTTTAGCATAGACAAAGTCAATGCATCCAAGATTAGGAGGGAAGCAGAAAAGTGGGAAAGAATTTTTACAACCAGTGTCTCTGATAAAGGCCTCATTTCTAAAATATATAGAGAACTGAGTCAAATTTATAAGAATACAAGTCATTCCCCAATTGATAAATGGTAAAAGGATATGAACAGGCAGTTCTCAGAGGTAGAAACTAAAGCTATCTATAGTCATAAGAAAAAATATCCTAAATCACTACTGATTAGAGAAATGCAAATCTAAACAATTCTGAGGTACCACATCACACCTATTATGACAAAATAGGACAATGATAAATATTGGAGAAGACGTGAGAAAATTGGAACACTAATGCATTGTTAGTGGAGTTGTGAAATGATCAAACCATTTTGGAGAGCAATTTGAAAATATACCCAAAGAGCTATAAAATTGTGCATACCTTTTGACCCAGCAATACCACTTCTAGGTTTGTATTCCAAAGTGATCATAAAAATGGGAAAAGGACCCGCATGTACAAAAATATTTATAACAGCTCTTTTTGTGTTGGCCAAGAATTGGAAAGTGAAGGCATGCCCATCAATTGGGAAATACAAGTTGTGGTATATGAATGTAATAGAATACTATTGTGCTATAAGAAATGATGAGCAAGCAGACTTCAAAAAGAAAAAAACCTGGAAAGACTTATATGAACTGATGCTGAATGAAAATGAGCAGAACCAGGAGAACATTGTACACAGTAACAGCCACATTGTGCAATGACTGACTTTGATAGACTTGGTCTTCACAGCAATGCAAGAATCTAAGACAACTCCAAAAGACTCAGGATGGAAATTGGTATCTACATCTAGAGACATAATTATGGAGTCTAAATGCAGATGGAAGCTTACTATTTGCTCTCCTTTTCCTTTGTTGTTTTGTTTTATTGCTTCATTCTTGTGGTTCCTCCCATTAGTTCTAATTATTCTTTACATCATGACTAATGGGAAAATATGCTTAATATGAATGTATAAATAGAGCCTATATCAGATTGCATGCTATCTTGGCTGGGGGGAGAGGAGTAGGAGGAGGAGAAAATTTAAAAGTCAAAATCTTACGGAAGTGAATGTTGAAAACTAAAAATAAATAAATTATCAAAAAAAGTAAAAAAAAAAACCCACATATATTTAGTAGTTTCCTGTTAGGAGCTACTACCATTTCTCCAACCTTTTGAAGGGAGGCCAGCACAAGACATTTTCATAGGAAGATTTTCACTGTTAATATCCACAGACATTTAATTTTCATCTTGACCGCCTAATGAGATCATTAGCTTGATTTATCCTTGGAGTCATGTTAGCCCATTCTCTCTCTGTACTGTGGCATTCCTCATGATCTGCTACTCTCATGGGCACCCAGACTGTCTGGGTTATTAATGAGGGGCCATAGAATGTGATGTATCACGGATTTACCCAGCATGAGCCAGGCAAGTGCAGGATTGATCCCAGGAGGAATTCTGATGATCAAATAAGCCAGTCAAAATATGCAAAAAAAAAAACCCCAGAGCTCAGATAGTAATGAAACCCTAGCCTCCCCTTGAGATCCACATCAAGTCTATGAAATTATAAAAACAGAGAAATGAAAATAACTAAAAACCAAACCCACCACCCACTTCCACCCCCACCAAGAGGTTTATAAAATAATCAAAACAAACAAAAAATAAATATCTGAAGCTAATCCCACAAAAATCATTAGCATGGTTTTGTTATGATCTTCTCAATTAGAGCAGTGGACTGAAATTATTGACTGCCCATCTCCTGGAGAACATTAGATCACAGGAGTCTAGACTTACAGCTAGAAGGAACCTCAGAGGTCATCAAATCCAATCCCCTCTATTTGTGAATGGGGAAACCAAGGCCCTGGCATTTAAATGCCTTGTCCAAAGCCAAATAGCTAGTGAGTGGTTTGAGGTCACATGTGAACCCAGGTCTTCCTAAGTCCAAGTCCAGGGCATTACCCACTACATTACAATATGTTGTTGTAGGTCATCAGAAAATATGAATGAGCTTTATTTTTTTAAAGAAAATATACTGTACAAAAATCCAAACTTATACAATAGATTTGGTGGGGAGGGGGCAACAAGGAGAAGGGAGAGATTTGGAGGATGAGGGAAGAGATATGATTTCATTAGTATTAGGAATTCACAGTAAGGAAACTCCCTCTGCCAGTGTAGATGGGCCTCAAGGCTCTGTGTCAGTAGCAGGATTTGAAATCAGGTCTTTCTGACTCTAGAGAGAGCTTTCCATCCACAACCATAGTCTGCCTCTCAACAAGGGAGATATTGTTGTTCGTCCTTCATAGTTGAAGAGGATACCATGATGTTGGAGTCTAGGTACAGTGTGTCCAACTGTGGTTGATCAGACCAATAAGGCTCTACCATAGGTTGGGCACAAATATTCCATTTGAACATTTGGGATGGAGATGTCTCTAAATTTGCACATCTCATGTTTCTTTTGAACTACTGCAGTTCTGCTTTACTCATAGAGCACAGCACCTTTTTTGATGCAGGCATGCCATGCTGAGTGGTCATGTGCCAGCATCTCCCATGTCTCTCAATTGTTACTAAAGTTCTTTAGAGAGACGTTGAGAGTGTCCTTGAA